TCATAGCTAATAGAGAGCTATACACAGATCTAATCGTATTAAAGATAATCGACTACGACGTCATCCTATGAATGAATTTCTTAGGAAAATATCAAACAACTATCGATTGTCGTAATGGGAAGGTGCTTTTCCGACCCGATGGGGAAGAAACTTTTGAGTATGTTGATTGCTCTAAGCGTACCCCCAGACGAGTAATTAATGTAATGGAAGCAAGGAAATTACTTACTAATGGTTGCGAAGGATATTTAGTACATATTGTGGACACGACTAAAACTGATAAGTTGCAACCAAAAGATGTGCCGATAGTTCAAGAGTTTCTGGAAGTCTTTCCGGAAGAATTACCAGGATTACCACCAGAACGTGAGATTTCATTTGAAATCGAACTTTTACCTGGAACGGCACCAATTTCTAAGGCTCCTTATAGAATGACTCCAACAGAACTTAAGGAGTTAAAAATGCAACTGTAGGAATTAATGGACAAAGGATTTACCCGACCAAGTTATTTGCCTTGGGGAGCTCCTGTATTGTTTGTAAAGTAGAAAAATTACACATTGAGGATGTGTATTGACTATCGTGAGCTCAATAAGGTCACGATAAAGAATAAATATCCTCTGCCCAGGATCGATGACTTATTCGACCAACTCAAAGGGGCGGCAATATTCTCAAAGATTGATTTGCGATCTGGATACCACCAATTGAGGATTAAGGAACAAGATATACCAAAGACGGCTTTTAGAACGCGTTACAGATATTACGAGTTTCTAGTAATGCCGTTTGGACTAACTAATGCCCCAGCAGCTTTTATAGACTTAATGAATCGTGTTTTCAAGGAATACTTGGATAAATTTGTTGTCATTTTTATCGACGACATACTAATTTATTCAAAGAATCATAAGGAACATGAAGAGCACTTGAGAATTACTCTTCAAACGCTGAAAAGACATCAGCTATATGCTAAATTCTCTAAGTGTGAATTTTGGCTCAATGAAGTTCATTTCTTGGGGCATGTAGTTTCGAAAGATGGAATCTCGGTGGATCCAACAAAGATTGAAGCTATTAGTAACTGGCCCGCACCAAGAAACGTAACAGAGATTCGTAGTTTCTTAGGTTTGCCCGGATATTACAGGAGATTTGTAGAGGGTTTTGCAAAACTAGCTACACCACTCACTACCCTCACACGAAAAGAAAAGAAGTATGAATGGACGGAGAAATGTGAGGAAAGTTTTCAAGAATTGAAACGAAAGCTAACTACTGCACCAATTCTTACGATCCCAAAGGATGGAGAAAACTTTGACGTATACAGTGATGCTTCCAAACTAGGACTGGGAGCGATACTGGTGCAAAATGGAGAGGTAATTGTGTATGCATCTAGACAATTGAAAACTCATGAAAGAAACTATCCTACTCATGATCTTGAATTAGCAGCAGTAGTTTTTGCTTTAAAGATATGGAGGCATTATTTATATGATACGCAATGTCAGATTTTCACTAATCATAAGAGCCTCAAGTATTTCTTTACTCAGAAAGAACTTAATATGAGGCAACGCAGATGGTTGGAGTTAGTAAAGGATTATGATTGTGAAATCCTTTATCACCCTGGAAAAGCCAATAGGGTAGCTGATGCTTTAAGTCGTAAGAGTACTAAATTAAGTCATATGTCATTGGATAGATTTCCAACACCTTTACATAAGGATATTCATTCATTAGGGTTGGAGCTAATTATAGGCAAATTAGCCACTCTACAGATATAACCATCTATTTTTGACAAGATGGCAACGGCGCAACGTCAAGATTCTACTCTTAACGAGTATTGGAAAGAATCTAAAGAAGGAAAAGAGACAGAGTTCAAAGTCTCTGATAAGGGAATACTCACATTTCGAGGAAGAATTTGTGTTCCAAAAGATGAAAGTCTTAAGAGTTAAATTCTTTCTGAAGCTCATAGTACCCCTTATTCGATACATCCAGGAGCGACTAAGATGTATCAAGATCTAAAACAACACTTTTGGTGGAGATACATGAAAAATGACATCGTGGACTACGTTAGTCGGTGTCTAACATGTCAAAAGATTAAAGCGGAGCATAAACGT